TTATTAAATCCAGGTTTTAAATTTGAGGAATAATGGTACACGGATTTCCTTCAGAAGCTTGGTGTGATAGATGAAATAAATCCTTTATTTTATCATTTGCACACTCACTTTATCAAATTAAGAGAGTCTCTCATAAACAGAAACGGCTTCTCCTCCAAAATAAGCGATTTTCCATCTTCCGTTGAACTACAATTCATTATTATTGCTGCAATCATTGTGTAGAAATAATCATGCAAATTACTTCCCCAACAGAAAGAAGCCAGTTAATGAAACTTAAAGAATTATAAAACGAAAATTCTCGAAACGATTAGTCATTGAACATTAAATAATACTAATAAGTCAGTTAGGAAATCAACATACATTCTTCTACTTTTGTTATCGTCATTAATAGACTATCATCCCATAACTTCTCAGCTTTGTAATCTGTGGTAATCTCCGCACCTGAAATTAATGGCACGGCTGTCTGATAAAAGTCATTGAATTGAGATTTGGGATGGTTATTATTATCGTCCTAGCTTATCAGCAATAAGAATAACAATAAGAAATTGTGTTTTTCACTTTTACAGGTTTTTCTTCCCCGTCAAAAGTAGTAAATCAGAATGTGGAATGCATACCTAATGCTTGATTTGGCGCTTGTCCTCCTCCTCCAGGTGCCGCTGGGGCGGCAGCCTGGCAATAGATGAAAAAAGCAATATGTACTATTAACTTTGTCATATTTAAGATCGTTTGTATAATAATTTCGATTTTTTCTAAAGACAAGTTTTAGTTTATTAAAAAATAGCAGCCATCTTGGGAAGAATCTTAGTTAAACGCTTAATTACATTTTCTAAAACATTAGAAATGGGAACCAATTGATAGAAATTTGCCAAATGCCGTATTTCGTTAACAGATTTTTATTTATTTTTACGGCAAACGGATTTCCGAACTGTGAATGAAGCTTCTACGTTTCCGCTTGTGATGATTTTTAGTTTACGGTTTATTTATTAACCGATCAGGTGGATTTCCATGATCAGTTATTATTCCCAATAATCGGTTTCAGCCAAGACTTGGCACACGCATCTTCTGGAACCTATTGGTGTTTGCAAAATTCCTCAAATCCATTTCGTGATATTCAGGAAAACAACCGTAAGAGAATTCAAAAAATCAACATTTAATTCAGCTTTCATTATTGAATTCCGGCTCTCACCTCACATGACACAATAATGATCTGGTAAATTTCATTCGACAAGTTACCGCCGTCATGGCAAGTAATCTGCATGTTAACCTTATAATTCATTATCATACAATAAATATAGTCTTGAACATATGTAATTTAGATGATTATGTTCTGAAGCAGTGTCGAGGATCATCACTGATAAAGCAGTGTCTAAGAGCATTTTTTAAACACTGAAAGACATAAAAATAACAGAATGGTTGATGACTTAACAACAGCGCTTTTTATATTTCCGCAGCGGAATCTTGGGAGTATATCCTGCTCAATATTTGTGGTTCAATGCTCTATATTCTACATTTC